AAATGTTTTTTCTAGTTTGTAATTGTAATTGTAGGTGTGTAATTGTAAGTGTAATTGTAATTGTAATATACTAACTGTTGTCGTTACGTTACAGAGCATGTTGTGCATTTGATTTTATTATTACTTAAGTTTTTAGATGTAAGTTTAAATGTAACAACTACTAGTTGTCCAAATAAATAAATAAATAAATAAAGATCATGGTTATGGTTAAATAAAATGAACTAAATAGATATTTAGTTCATGTAACTGAAGATATTGAAACAAACACTAGACTTTGTGTCTAGTATTTGTTTCATTATCTCCTTTTTTATACCTACAACAAATCGAAAGCATTATCACGTCGTCATTTAGTATAAAATATGGATACCACGTGATATTTAAAATCATTCAATTTATTCGAATTTCTGTGATGCCGAAAAGAAAAACGGGGTGTCCAATATCAACAAACAAGCGTATGTATCAGATGACGTCAAGCAAATAGCGCTGCCGATGAACACTCGAACAGCGAGGATTTCCAAGTGCGCTGCCAGCCTTTTGAGAGTCTTATGGGGGTAGGGGAGGAATTGAACCTCTAGTAAACTTAACCAAATTTTAGTTGTCATTGATGAATACATGTAAATGTAAACTTACAATGTCTGCATATTCTGGTATATCATTCATTATTTGTATAATTGTTTTCTGTAACTGTCTAGGTGGCATTGCTTTCTTTTCGTTAATTTGTAATAGATTTGCTTGTTGTGCTGTAAATAATTCTGCTTGCTTTCTTGACCACTGGCATTCTTCAAAACTGCTGAAATGATAAATTCATACTCTGAAAGGTAACTGTGTAGGTGTGCATACTACCTACATAATTCATAGATAAACACGAAACCTCATTAATTGAGACATCAAGACAAAGGAACCTGAAATGTCGTTATACTAATAGATAGATGTTTAACTTTCGCAGTGTCTGTGTATGGTCCAAATATGCTTTGGTCACCAATTGAATTCATTTAAAATACCTTTCTTTAACTTTAAATCATCAAACCCCAAGTGAGTGCCAGCATTCACACACCTATTGTTCTTCTATTATTTCTCGAAATACGACGATTAAAAGGTTAATAAGTTTCTATGTTATCTCGGTAAACAGTATGCATATAAAATTCAGTTCATTTTTGTCTCAGTTATTGAGATATCTATGATGGTAAATCGAAGGAAAAAGCACTAGATATAGAGGTTTACCTTGTTCTACTAACAGGGATAATTAAGAGTGCCTAAGTGTTGAGACCTCTGTATAATTTCCACATATGGAGGTTTCTCATTTAACCAAGTCCAACTTAATGAAGTTTTTTTTTCAGAAATATAACTTGAAGTAACAACTTACTTGTCTCTGTCTATAATATTCATTCGCATTGACAGCTCCAAAGGTTTTGATTCCTCAGGAATAACAGGAGATGTGGATGTGGCCTGCTGGTCCATGTTGTTAAGTTTCTGCAAAAAATTTCAAACTAAACAATTAGTATTGACTCCATTAACATATTTAAGTACAGGGATTTATTATTAAAAAAGACCAACCTCTTTACTTAACGATCTCATCATAAGACCAGGCCTTCCTCTCTGATAATAAAGACAGAATGACTTGTAAAGTGACACTACTTGCACAAAAGTTAGCTTATCTAAATGAAGCAATATTCTTCTTAAATACAATCCTGAAAGAAGAAAATATTATTAATGTATATTTAACAACACTTACAAGTGTTATACTTTTCAACAAACAAAGTAAATTATTGATAGATTTTCTTACCTAATACACTGTATCTGGCCATAATACAAGGATTAGATTCAATCATCAGCTTATCTATTGTTGAGGTGACACAGTCCGTCAAAGCACTAACTCCATTGACATAAATATTCTGTAGTCTAACACAAAAGTTCTGCAGATGAACACTTAGTAAGTTATAACGTCCATCTGTTAACAAAGCTTCTAACTCCTTAAATTCCATGTCTGGGCACTGAAAAAGCAACATGAAGAAAAAATGCTTAAAAATGTTTGTTACCAAGGTTTTTTTTTTGTTATGAATATTTTTAAACTCAACCCTAAACCAATACAAAACTATCCAAATTTATCTATAATAATTTTATTCATAATAAATTCTATATTTTTGTGAACAAGTTTGAATATAGCCTACAATCAGATTGCTAACAAAGTAAATATATAAGGTATTCTAAGTAATATAGAAAATATTTCGAGTTGAATAGTTTTTATATTTTTAAAGAATTCCTTTGAATATTTGCCACTTACAAGTTTGTTGATTAATACATACATTCCTATTATATTTTTACCTTACATTAATATAAATAAATAAACAAAATCACACTCAATGTATTCACCAGAACCATACAAGTAGCTATCTAGCTATAGTTTCAATATGAAGAAATTGTTACCTGAATTAGTTTAAGAGCCAACATACAAAAGTCCTTTCTATATTTTGGAGCTACAGTACAATCCATCATTTTGTTTGCTGAAATTATTAAAATTATATTAAACTTTGATTTTAATGACTTAACATTAAACCCGTGAACCAAGAGATAATATAAAATTGCAAACAAGACTCATAACTAAAACAGGGTCGTTTAAAATATAAAAACGTTATTGATATAATAAGATTTCTTTGGTCTGAGGTCATACCAGGTATATGGCGACAGATTCACTTAATGTATATATTTATTTAAGCAACAATGAAAACAACAAAAAAAAGAACAGGAAACACCGAAAAGGTTCTTGGTGTATGGGATATCTCTAACATAACATGATGACTACTCACCTTCAATTTTTAGTAGACCGTATTCCCTTATAAAAGCTACCACAGCTATTTTGTGAGGTGTAATATTTTCAATATTACCTTTGACATTAATTAATTTAGTAAAATCTACATTTTCACCGCCTAGATCCATCGTTTCAGTTAAATAATCAATCGGTTTATACCTGTTTATACTATTGTTTTGATTTTGATTATTTCATTCAAATTTGAAACTTGAAACTAAATGTCAAATGTCAACTGCCTCGGTCATTGAGATAGAAAATATATAGAGGCGCCGTGTTACTATAGAAGTATACATGCTTATACAAATATGAGGGAAATATGAAACAAACTATGAAATATCATTTTATCTCACTCTTTCTGAGGCAATAATTGTATTAGACAAAAGGGACAACAATATTTAAGTTGTTGCTTAATATGGAAACCAATCATTTTGACATTAGCAAAGTTGTAGGTAAGTGCCATGTCCGCCATCTTAAGCGCTCAGAGTACCTGAGTTTCATGGTAGTTGTCCTGTCAAACGGTTGTTTATGTTTTAAATTATTGCGGTTTTTCAGTAAATTACAAAGAACCATTTTTTTAAACTTCAAATATATATAGTGAAACAAAAAAACAATATGCCTGTGTGTTGTATTGTGCAGTGTGGTGCAAAAAAGAACGAAAATCAACCTCAATTGTCTTTGTATAGGTTAGTAAACAGTTTTCATCAAATATTACTTAGAATAATCCACATAGATGGAAAAAAATGTCACGGATACTTTAATCTATTGCCAAAGTATATATATTTACTTTTTTTTCTATCTGTGAGACAGTTTTAGTAAAAAAATGTTGTTTACAATAATATGTCAATATGGCATAGTTACGTACCATTTCACAAAAGTATCGATATAATCTCCCATTTAAAATTCAACATATATTATACTAAATAATCTATTTTAACAATGGATGTTTCCGCAGTTTTGTGTAACGCTAAATTAAGATGTCAGTATTTTGGTATTGGTTTTAGTTACATAAGTAGAAGTTCAAATTATCATGTTTTATAATTATACGGGCGCGATTGACAGAGCGGCGTTGGCGACGATCCCAGTGCGACCACCAAGCGTAATAATAAAAAGTGAGATACATACAATAAGATTGACTTCACTACATATCTATTTTGTGCTAACGTAGTTTCGAAGATATCATCGTTTAATCAGACGCGCCGAAATTGTGCGCGAGCACTTCAAAAATACCCACAGGTTTTCCACATATATAAAGATAAACATTTAACAAACACTATCTTTTTCTATTTCACCATTCCATTAAACGCTGTTCATAAACACAGTCCTATTTTTTTAAAAGACGCTTTACGTAGTAATATATGAATACTAATGCGACTTGAGAAAATCATTAGCCAATCAAGAGACCAAGTTAACCCCGGGTTCCGGCCTTAGCTAGGCCGACGGCAAAGTAGGAACAGGAGTTGATTTTAGTCAGTAACGGTCTGTCCCGATTCGGGACAGACCATAATGTCATCTCCGGCCTTTTTCGGGACTCCCGAAAAAGGCCGGAGATGACATTAGATGATTTCCCATAAAAAAATACCGTTAATCAGCTGGCTAATCCCTAAAACATACCTACGTAGAACTTTTACTCAAATTGTATCGATACTCGTTAAATACTTAGTCGGCACAACCCTAGCAACGGCAGCCATCTTATGCGACATTTTGGATTGTAGGTAGGCACCTTTTTTTCGTAGGTATTTCAAGTCCATATATTTCCTATGTCAATGGCCTCGGTAAATAAAAGTCTATATTATATAAATTTTTAACCACAGATTACTAAAAAAGCTACTCATTTTTTATGGGCCAAGCCCGCCGCAACCTCCCGAAACTATTATTCTAATGAATATTTGATTAATTAATCTTTTATTCAATTGAATTGGTTCACAAAAATTAGAGCACAAAGCACTAGAATTTTATAAATCTATTAAAATACATACGATATTGAGTATGTGGACTATTGACACAGAATTAGAGATGCACGCACGTAAGTGTGTTCCTAACCTTATACTAGAGCCACTGGATTACTTAAGAAGAAAAAAAATAAGAAAGAATGCTTGTCTATGCTTTTGCTCCATTGACGACAAACATAGTATATTACTATAATATATATTACTATAATATATTACTATAATCTCTAGTATATTACTATAATCTATGACGACAAACGACAATGCGTGTTGTTGTGATAACAATTTATATTTGATCACGAATTATTTATATTAAATAATCTTAAGTTTTGCGAAAATGTGGAGACAAAGTCTTAATTACTTTTAAGTTGGAATGGAATACAAGTACAGTTTTAATTTATTATTTTTGTTTTTCTAGTAATTTTACCAGAGGTAGCCATAGTAATGGATAAATGTAAGGTTGCGTTTATTATAGTAGTGTTATATTTTATTGTATCAATTGAGACTTCGGGTGTTACTGTTTATCCCGGAGATACATTACCTCATCATGGTCGTTGTGAGCCCATTACTATTCAGTTTTGTTCACAAATACGATATAATCAAACGATATTTCCCAATTTACTGAATCATGCTAAACAAGAAGATGCGGCTCCAGAAGTCCACCAGTTCACTCCTTTGGTAAAAGTTAACTGTTCACCAGATCTACAATTCTTTTTGTGTTCAGTGTACGCCCCCGTGTGTACAATATTAGACAGAGTCTTGCCTCCTTGTCGACATTTATGTGAATCAGCCAAACAAAATTGTGATGAGATTATGACAACATTTGGACTTCACTGGCCCAAGCATTTGGAGTGCACCGAATTCCCTGTGGCTTCTGAAGGCGTGATATGTGTTGGTGATAACAATATAACTCATGAGTCTAGAAAACACAAGGAAACCAGACTTCCTAAAGTGAATTTCAAAAATAGTCATGAAAAAGATCCAACCAAACTACGTGGAGCAAAAGACTATGGATTTGTGTGTCCTGTTCAATTTAAAGTCCCTAAGAACTTAGATTTGGAATATTCATTGAAGGTTGGTGATAAAACAGAATATGACTGTGGGGCACCTTGCACTGGAATGTTTTTCAGTGAAGATGAGAAAAAGTTTGCACGATTATGGATTGGTATATGGGCCACATTATGTACTGTAAGCTGTCTGTTCACTGTTTTGACTTTTCTAATAGACACAGATAGATTTAGATATCCAGAAAGACCTATTATTTTCCTATCTGTATGTTACCTCATGGTGGCTGCAGCATATGTTATGGGTTGGAGTGCAGGTGACAGCATTAGCTGTCAAGGACCATTCCCAACAACAATAAGTGGTGCAAGACTACCAAATACATCTGTTATTACACAGGGAACAAAGCATGAACCTTGTACTATACTCTTCATGGTGGTATATTTCTTTAGTATGGCTTCAAGTATTTGGTGGGTGATCTTGACATTGACATGGTTTCTGGCAGCTGGACTTAAGTGGGGCCATGAAGCAATTGAAGCAAATTCTCAGTACTTCCATTTAGCAGCATGGGCTGTACCTGCTATCAAAACAATATCAATTTTGGCCATGGGAAAAGTAGATGGTGAGTTTTTTAATTTATTTATTTGTATTTAAGTGTGGGAAAAGCAACCAATGTCACAAATGGGTCAAAGTGATACCATAATCTCACAGAAAACCAATGTGAAACAACCACACTTATGTTTGGCCATGTGAGGTCACTGGAGACCAAATTTATAGGATTGGGTCTTCAGTCCCAAGCATCCCCCATTCCCTAAATCTTTGGAACCCTAATCCTTAAAAGGCCGGCAATGCATTCATTACTCCTCTAGTGTCACCGAGGTCCATGAGTGGCACCATTTGCCTACCATCGAGTAATCTGTCTGCTTCTATTCAAATACACATATTTAATCATAGCCTTGTGAATACCTGATCAAATTTATAAAAGAATGTTATTGGTACTACATGAATACAATTACCAGATACAACCTCTGTGCTGCTACATAATATTTGAAATGTTAATACCGTATTATATTTAACGGGATTCAAGTATCTCTTGGAGAATAATAAATAAGCTTGGTATATATTTATCATGTAGTCACAGTACAGACATTTCAAACCAATGCATTGTTTAATTATGTTCACTTCTATTAATTGTCAACATGCATACAAAATCAATGTATTAAAATATTTTTAATTTCTATTAAATCTGTGAGCCTTGTGTAAACCTTATTTACAGTGCTTTGTATTGTAGACCAGGAAATAATGAATTGCATATTTTTTTCTTTCATCTCAAGTTACACATAATTTCTTCTTTTCAGGTGATGTTCTCTCTGGTGTATGCTATGTTGGACTTTGGGATGCCGAAGCACTGCGCGGATTTGTTTTGTCACCGCTCTGCGTGTATCTGGTTCTTGGGACTATCTTCCTGCTAGCAGGCTTTGTTTCATTATTCCGAATTAGAACTGTAATGAAACATGATGGAACAAAAACAGATAAACTTGAGAAACTAATGATTCGTATTGGCGTTTTTGGTGTTTTATACACAGTACCAGCTTTAATAGTGATTGCTTGTCTTTTCTATGAACAAGCTAATTTCGATGATTGGATGGGAACTTGGCACCGTGACATGTGTTCTATACCTTTGTATTCTATTCCATGCCCTTTTACACGTAAAGAAACTGACCGACCGAAATTTGAAATGTTTATGATAAAGTACTTAATGACGATGATAGTAGGAATAACTTCCAGTTTTTGGATTTGGTCTGGGAAAACATTAGTCTCATGGCGCCAATTTTTCGATAAAATTAAGGGACGAAGGGTGGAAGCTTATGTGTGACTTGCTTTGAGAATGGATCTAATTTGAATCTTATACATATTTTAGAAAATTGTTTCCCGCCGTTAATGAGGCAGCTAAATCGAATAAGGCAGCTATATACTTTTATCATGAGATTATTTTTGAATATTATTGAATCTCAAAATAAGGCTGAAATTGTAAATAGTTTTCTTTTTTCATTATTGTGTCCTAATTGTAAGATTTTTTTACTTTTTTGTAATTATTTTTAAGAATAATTTTAAAATAAAATAATTGTATTTTTAATGTGATATTTTTATTTAGTTGATACAATTTATCATCCTTGTCAATTAATTCTTTTTAGGATTTTGTACCCAAAGTAAAAACAGAAGCCCTATTTCTAATACTGCCAGCTGTCCATCTATCACCATCATAAACTGTCATGCCTTAACCCTTTTGCGGTTAGAGGGATAGAGGGAATATTTTTGGAGGGTATTTTTAGAGGGAATATAATAGGTTAACATTGGGAGAGATTATAATAAGATATTTCTATTATCGCTATAAAACATAATATTAAATATATTAAAAAAGCAAATGCAAAATAATTAAATTCATTTTTTTTTTTTATATAGGTAATAGTAAATTACCTACTTACATAAAAAAGAAACGCGCGCCCCGCCCGAAACACCAGCTATCTCTTCTTTTTTTTTGTGAGGGGAAAATCATCAAATGACTTCTCCCGCCCAGGGCCGGGCAGAGGGAGTGTCAGATTCTTACTGACTAAAACCCCCCTGTTCCTTCTCCTGCTCTGGGCCGAGGTCGCGGTCGCTCATTGCGCTTACCCCGCAACCAGCTCTCTCTTCTTAACATTATGTTTTAAACAATGTGTCCTTGCATACTCCTCACAGATTACCAGTAGCCTCCGCAGGGCGCTGATCGATGGGCTCAACAGCACCATGTCGTCAGCGGAACTAATATTGTTCACAATCTTCCCATCAATAGAACAGCCTACCCCGGTGCCGTTGAGCTCACGTACCAGATCCCTTACGTAGATGTAAAAGAGCGTAGGTAGGAACTCAATCCGCACACCACGCGGTCAGTATAGTACATAACATACCTGACGGAGTGCTTCAGGACCAGTATTGCACTCTCAATAGAGAGGCCAGGTCTAAACCCAAATTATGCATCTTCGAGCACGACAGACAGGGAAACAAGATTATTCAGCACACCGTCAAGTACCTTGTCGACTACTTAAAGTGGCTACAGTAATGGGCCTGTACCTAATTGTTTTTGTCACTGACATCCCCTGGTTTGTTTTCCACATAGAGGTTGGTTTTTCACAATAGGCACTACAACCGCTTTCATAATATCATCAGGCAAGTAGGTAGGTACGCATGACGTAGACAAAAAGTGTAAAACATCGCCAACACTACACATGTGTGGACTGCCATGCCTAAGATGCTGTACGGTAAGTCCGTCGTGTCCAGGAGATTTACTCTTATGCATTCTTTGTAAAACCCGCGACACCTCCTTCGATGTGTTATTCTAATGGGCTCGAGTGCTCGACACGCGTAGGATCACGCCTGAAACATCCTCTCCTGCACTACTGCACTAGTACCCTTTTTCTGTGAGAAAGTGCTCTCTAAATGTCTCTAAATAAGAATGATATAACCACTATTGTGTGTGTATTCTCTTTGCTAAATAAGTTGGTGATGTCTTTTTTTGTGAGGGGAAAATCATTAAATGACTTCCCCCGCCCAGGGCCGAGCGGGAGGGAGTGTCAGACTCTTACTGACTAAAAACCCCTCTGTTCCTTCTCCTGCTCTGGGCCGAGGTCGTGGTGCCTCATTGCGCTTACCCCGCAAACCCGGCTGAACATCAGCCCTATAGGGCCCCGTCTATGGTGGTCTATTGGCTCTTTGAGGCGCGCGCAGAACGCTACGCGCCGTACGCTCGGGCCTGGTTCTGGTCGGCCGGCGAGCCGCCCTTACTCGCCGACCGCAGACCCGCGCTTACGGTGGCCGGAGATCATCTCTCGATTCCCGACGCCCGGAATGTCGCCTATTGCGGCGGCTGGAGCGTGAGGAGGAGGATTGCTTGCTCACGCGGGCCGCCTCCCTCTTTGCGAGCATGACTGCTTCACAGAAGGAGGAGACGGCGTCCCAGTTCCTCTCACTCCGCACCATGGCCTCAACTAAGACCGGGCGCGAGAGGTCGCCGCCTCCGATCACTTCCCTGAGGACACGGCGGTGCTCAGCCCAGGCAGGGCATACCGCCACCGTATCCTCTAGGTAAGTTGGTGATGTCTACTGCCTCCACTTTGTCCTGCATACTCACCGGGAGACTCGACCTGGGATTTAGTTTGTTGGCTTGCTTCCAGAAATACTTGAAGGACCTATTTGCGATTGTCTTGTAGAGATTTAGGGTTATTTTTAAATATTCTCCTACTATCTGCCATTGCCTTCCAAATAGGCCGAGTCCGGTTTCCCCCAAACACAGCATCTCACATAACGATGACGAGCCTCCCCGTTAAAGTCCCTAACATACCTGTTCCAGCCAGCGATATGACTATCTCTTTGAATCTCCTTACATTCGCACCTCGCAATAGCAGCCACAGACATTGCGTTAATGATAACACTGTATAATAAGTTTTAAACTCTGTAATCTAGTATTAAGTAACCAATTACTTTCTTATGACTAGAATCATTAAATCAGAAGGAACATCAATTTCTCTTAAAATACTATTACCTACATTTTTTTCATAAATTTCAGTCTGTCTTTAGTCCTTATCCCATCCATATTACTATTATAATATTAGTATTATTTTGCGTTTGCTTTTCCCATACAACCAATGTTATACAGATTACAGACATGAAATGAAACAAGACAGTAAGAGTTCTGTGGTTTTCCCTCAATACCTGTTCCCTTTTATTTTTTTGGGAATTTACAAAAACAATTTAGGTCAATCAGATGTCTGTGCTGAGAATATTCATAATAACTTTATAATCGGCAATGTTTTCATTAGTAAATTGTACATGACAATGATTATGAGTCATTACATCTGGTGCTTGAGTCCTGTGGTTAGGCATGATATATGATTGATACCTTTATATATTTCTATTAAGTGAAGAATTGATCAGTTTAAACAGGTGTTTCTGGAGCAAAATTTAAACAATGATACTTTGATTTTCAGAATATGTATCAACTTAATTAAATTAACATTCTTGTGTATGAAATTGTTAAAAAAGGATTATGTAAAATAAAAGATATTTTAATGTATACAACTTATGTTTAATGTTTAATAGAATTAAATTACATAATTTAATAAAATTATATCTTAACATCCAACCCCATACTCTTTACACTCCATTTCTCTCATACTTAACTCAGAACAGACATTTATTCATTGTATGGAAAATTATGCTCTTGTGTATTTACCCCAAATGTGAAGCATAAACACTGATGCAATAAAGAGTAAGGACATCACTAGCACTGGAACTGGACCTCTGCAAATAAAAACAATGACAATACTGTATTTCATGATAATATTGTTTATAAGTAAAATATATATAAATTTCTAATTATTTAAAGAAAATTTTGTATTTATAGAATGCATGTTTATTAAAAATCATTTTGAATAAAAATCTTAAATGGGATTTAACAGTGGTCAAATTACAAAACGAAGCTGTATTAAGTAAGGTATTTATAGACTGGCTTTTGTATTAAATTTGAAAATTCATTTCAAATTTAATCATAAAGCTGCTAGGCTCCTACTGATTGTAGTTTGATGTTTTATAGCCTAAAGCCTTTCTCAATAGATGGTCTATTAAACACATATAGATTTTTTAATTCGAACCAGATCTTCCTGAGATTAGCATGTTCAAACAAACAAACTCTTCAGCTTTATAATATTATTGTACACATTTAAGACAACTGAAAGAATAGTCTAATAACACAGGTGGACAACAGGTTCTTTATAGATATTGATTAAATGCAATATCAATTAAACAAATGTTCACTTACACTTTAACACCAGGGGAATCATCAGTGTAGAATCGCCACATGCCACCAGACCCGGCCCCAGCAGTACTGCGATTTCTAGCAGCAGTAGTAGTCGTTGTAGATTTGCGCTGGCGAACTGTGCCACCACTGGATGATCGAGGTGCAGTTGTAGCTTTGCTCGGCGAGCGACCACCAGATCCTACAGATGTAGAGCTTGGAGAAGGCGGCTGAAAAAATAACACAGGTTTTTATCTAGTTGCCTATTCCTTATAAACCTTTTTTATTACAAAACATTTGTAACACTTAGTTCTTATACACACCATTTTTGTTATTTAAGTGCTTCAATACAGGATAACACAGCGACGACTGATAACTTTAGTAATTTGACTCTCGAAATTATAAAGTGGAACAACAGTGAACGTAAAGCTGTGAATAGTGTTGGCAACTAGATTTCATGCAACGCGTACAATCTCAATGACACGTTGACAAACAATGTTGCCACAAGTCATTTTTTTTAAATTACGTAATGAATTACCTATTATTAGTCGATTTGTACGAACCTAAATTATGCTTCTGTATTTTTTTTATTTTGAGGCAAAAACATTGCTCGTCTCGTGGTTACTAGGCCTGTATATTACTTTAAATACTTATGTCCGTGTTACATTTGGTTTTACCACTTAAATACACAAATCTTTACCCTGAATAAAATGGAATAATAAATCTTTTGATGCAATAACTGATATATATATCATAATATTTTATACCCTGATGATATTAAGCGACTTCTGAAGTGAACCTGTCTGTGTAAGCAAAATAATTTCAGCCCATATAAGTATATGTAGAATAGGTATAGGAATTTAGAGCATCTCTCAGACTTGTACTTGTACACGTTAGACTAGGTCCACTAATTTTACAACTCTCGTCTCAAATTTCATACTATTTAATTTTATATAATGGTTATAACAACTTGATGCCGACGTTAATGCGTCTTCATCCTTGTGGAAAAGTTAGAGCTAATGATATGGAACGGTGTTGTCCTGATGAACTTGTCCATATCAATGCAAATATTATAAAACTGTAAAGTTTGTTTGTTTGTTTTGAACGCGCTAATCGGCAGCGCAGCTTGTGAAACCGTGCCGGAAGTAGCTAGTATTTATTTTAACCTTGATATGCGCCACATACAGCAGCAGCTAAATGCAGATAAATGGCAATTCTTATAATGACGTCACACTTTCTTTCTAGTGCGAACTTTAGTTTGGACAGGGGCTGTATGCTGTATCTTACCAGATGCGTTACCATCTTACCGTAAATGAGTTTGTTTCTAGATAGATTACCTCAGGGTGCAACACGTTGCAATGCAATATGATCAGCCCCCTAGCATATACTCTTTGAATGTAGTCTCTGGCAATACGAACATAACACTATTTAAGATTATTTAAATGTTTCATTGGGTGTAGTTGATTATGTAGACCTCGTAGATTATAGAACCAATGCCATGTATTTAGGCGTTTTACCATGACTGAAAACAAATAGGTATAACGTAAGTTTATTTTTTCGTAATGTTTTATGACTGGACTTTTCTTGATTAGTGTAGTTTCTTTTATGTCTAAAAGTTATTTTGCCTCCTGCAAAGCAAATCACCAACGAAAGTGTTGACTATTTCGTTTCATAATCCCTGAACGCGTCGAAATTCAGTGTTTCGGTGTTTTCGTGGCTGTAACAGCTGTAGATCCTGTCAAACAAGAGTTGCAGCGGGCGTCTGCAAATCTGCATCAAAAATTAATCTATTTGCTCTTGGGCTGATATTCAACTGCGATATAAAGTAGTTTTTTTAAATACTTAAATCATTATTTTTTGTACTTTGATCATTTTAAGAATATTTAATTACTATATGCTGACATTAAGTCTGTAAATAAAAAACTGATCCTAATTGAAATTCTAACAGTGATTTGAAACAGTTCAAATAGCAGTCGATTTGTAATACTTATTATTATTTTTGCAAACGAGGGTTAGGGTTAGGGAAGGCGATTATTAAATATGTTTTACTCATAAATGTCACAAAAAATACGCCTCACGCCTAGAACTCAGACTACACTTAGTATCTCTAAATAGTCTGTGGTCAGAACAGTAAAAGTACGACTGTGTTGGCTTAAAGGACTTGTATCCGGGCCATAAACACCAAAAAAAAAAGTATTGAAGTACCACTGTCAGTGTTTCAGTGTGACAAGATAATCTGTGTTTTCAATTGTTTTGAAAGTAATCTCGGGACTTTCGTTGGTAGTGGTGAAGGTTACGCACGTGCTTTTATCGGTGCTACGATTGTTGTCAATTTTAGTGATCTTATTCATAGTGAACTAAATTGAAACGTTTTATTTTGTGTGTTGTTTAATTGTGTGTGTAAGTTTTAATAAGGTAGTGTGTACTCTTTGTTTTAACACTTGTTCTCTCATCCCACCTTTTCTAATTTTTTAACAATGGACGAGGAGAAGCCCCCCGATCCTCCCGACAAATCGGATTATAACCCCGTCTTATGTGCTTCCCTCCCCTACGACCACCAGGAAAATGACTTAATGGATTCCGAATCCAATCTTAATAGAAAACGACCTGCAGGCTCCCCCATTATCTCCCGCGTCAACCCTCCGAAGCTAGCAAAAAATATTAATGGTAGGCAGTGCTATACGGCTAAGGACAACCCACCTTATATCATTCATGTCTCTCTTAAGGACTCCGAGACGACTGGCACTACTCTCCATCCAATTAAATTCGGTATGTTTTTGACAAAGAATAATATAAATAATATCAAAATTGGAGGAGTGAAGCGACTCGGCAGGAATAGAGTGTCGGTCGAGTTTGTCTCTCACCAAGATGCTAACAGTTTCCTGGTTAACTGTGTGGTAGCTCAAAGTTATGTCACCTCAATCCCTCAATACAACATCACAAGAATGGGTATTGTGAGAGATGTTCCCATTGAGTGGACAGAGGAGGAAATAATTAGAAACATCAAGGTTCCCGCTGGATGTGGTATTGCTATCAAAGCAAGAAGGTTAAACCGTAAAGTGTCATCAGAAAATGGTACGGAATGGAAGCCTACCCAAACTGTGGTTCTCACTTTTGATGGGCAAATTCTTCCAAAGAAAGTTTTTTGCTTTTACTCGGCACTCCCCATAGAACAATACACATACCCTACAATACTCTACCCTTCGTTGGCGACGACATAAATGTTGTCGCTGTTAAGGCTGAGGATATAAATATTTTTATGTTTTATATTGCACACCCTAATATTAATCATTTGGCCATAATTAAAAATTTACTAATGTCAGTGAGTGGCCCATTACTTGTAATGGGTGACTTCAATTGTCACCATTATAGATGGGGTTCCGATACCTGCGACAACATAGGTAGCGAGTTTGTAGAAATGATAGATGAGCTTAACCTATGTGCCATTAATGACGGCAGCCCAACCCGTAGGTCTGAATTTGGGCAAAGAAGCAGTTGTGTAGACTTAACCTTCTGCTCACCCAATATGGCAAGCGTGCTGAATTGGAGCTGTTTGAATATGACCTATGGTAGTGATCACTATCCCATAATAATCAAACACCTCTCTAAATCTGTCCCCGATAAATCCCTCCCCCCTCTCTTAAAATATCGATTAGAAAAAGCAGATTGGGACCTGTACTCTAAATTGTTAGATATCCGCATTTCTTCCCTCCCACGTATTGATATTGAGAATCCTTTGGAGTGTTTTTCAAAGTTTTCAGAGCTGATGTCTTCTACAGCTGAAGATTGCTTCCCTGTGAAAAACACACCAAAAGGCAAAATCCCCTCCCCTCCCTGGTGGGATAGTGAATGCACTGCCATGATAAGAACCAGGAATGAGGCCGAAAAGGCATATAACCGAGACATGAACCTGGAAAATCTCCTTAATTTCAAGCAGGTGTTGGCTAAGTCAAGGAAACTTTTTAAAAAGAAGAAGAGGCAGGGGTGGCAGAGTTTCTGTAGTTCCCTGAGCCCATCAACACCGATAACAACAGTTTGGCGGAGGGTGAAGAGCTTTAGAAATTCCATAAAGCCTACTTCTATTTCTATCCTGCCTGACGGTCTGAGTCACAGTTTCCTTACTAGCATTGCCCCTCTGTACGTTCCTGGCGAGGAGGAATGCTGCGTGGGACATTGTGAAGAATCGCATGACCCGCTTGATAGGAATTTCTCCATGGATGAGCTCCAAATGGTTCTAAACCACGTAAGAGACTCCGCTCCAGGGATTGATGGGTTCCCTTACTCCTTTTTGGTGAAAGCAGGAGCCAAAACGAAGCAGTACTACCTTGACTTAGTCAACTTCTGTTTTACTTTCGGCTATATTCCTCCTACCTGGAAGGTTCAGGTTATCATGCCGCTGTTGAAAGCTGGCAAAGATCCCGGTGACCATTCGTCTTACAGACCTATTGCCCTATCGTCCATACTTTTAAAAATTTTAGAACACCTTATAAAGACCAGGTTGGAATGGTCGATAGAAGGCCGGGGGCTGTTTCCGGCGACTCAGTTCGGCTTCAGGAAAGGTCTGGGTACGGCTGACAGTGTGGGTACCCTCACTTCAGCCATCCGACTGGCCCTTAGCAGGGATGAGTCGTTGGTGGCGGTCTTTCTGGACGTCTCATCCGCCTATGACTCGGTCCTCCTACCCCTTCTCAGGCAGAAGCTGCAAGAGCTGAGAATCCCGAGTAGGATTTGCCAAATTATAGGCTGCATCCTTTCCAACCGCACCCTCCAATTGAGAACTCCTGGGGATGAGCCTTTACAGAGAACATCCTGGAGGGGCTTACCTCAGGGGTCTGTCCTTAGTCCCATCCTGTTTAATATCTATACCCACGACCTCCCTTCCTGTCTAAATTATGATTGCAGAGTCCTTCAGTATGCTGACGATATCGCATTAATGGTCACTAACAGCTCTATAACAGATGCTACCACCTCCATGAATGTCTCTTTGTCCTCATTACACCAATGGCTTCTCAATCATGGGTTGTCTTTAAGCGCCCCAAAAAGCTCAACTGTCATCTTTTCCCGCAGACGTCGCCTTCCAGACATTCACATAGAGATAGACGGTCAGCCCATTCCAGTTATGAGGAAGGCTAGGTTCCTGGGCGTCATCCTCGATTCTAGGATGTCGGGGGTAGATCACGTAGAAGCCGTAGTTAGAAGATGCGAGCGTTCAGTGTGTGTACTCAGAGCACTAGCTGGGGTATGGTGGGGTGCTCACCCTTACACGCTGAAACTCGTATACAATGCATTGGTCAGAAGTGTGATGGACTATTGCTGTTTTCTTATGGCGCCCTGCAATAAGCAAGCACTTAAAAAACTAGATTCCATCCAGGCCAAATGCCTAAGAATAATTATTGGAGCTATGAAGTCTTCCCCTATAAACGCTCTTCAGGTTGAATGTGCAGAGCCCCCCCTCGACCTTCGAAGACAATACCTGGCAGACCGTTTCGTTTCTAAAGTCCTGACCCGCTCTTCTCATCCCCTACTTCCTATCCTTGAGCAAATCCATTGTTCCTATGGTTCTTCTCCATATTGGAACAATAAACCTGTCCCACCCGTGATTGTTAGGTACAGGGAGCTTAAAAACCTCTCTGCACCCATCAGTCAATACCCTATCCTTCCGGTTTTCTCTTCCGCATATGAGGTTATTCTCTTTAGGCCTAAGCTGGTTCTGAGTTTGGGCATTTCAAAGTCATCAGTGGACGCCAAGGGTGATTTTGAGCGCGCGCTGAGCAATTACTGGCACGGCTGGAATGTGTTTTACACGGATGCATCCAAATTATCCCGAGATGGATGCACAGGAGTGGCAGCATATTTCCAGAACTCAAGAATTGCTCTGCTCTCCAAATGTCCCCCTGAAGCCTCCGTGTTCACTGGGGAATGCGTTGGCATTCTGGAGTCCATCAAATTTATTAAATCGCACAACCTCAGCAACTCAGTTATCTTCTCAGATTCTCGAAGCAGTCTACAAGCGCTCGGTCAAGACCAGCTTTATTCCCGGACGCATTGTAGTCTGATCATAGAAATAAAATCTTTGCTACTATCCTGCCAAAGAGACGGACTAAATATTGAGATCGCATGGATTCCTGGCCACTCTGGTATATGCGGTAACGAGTGTGCTGACAGATTGGCAAAGTTTGCGGCCGTGAATAATGTTGAACGTCACCACTATATTGTGTATGGGTATGACATACGTGCCGATACTAAACTCAAGCTCTTCGACTCGTGGGCTACAGTGTGGGCGGACTCCTCTAAGCGGAAAGGAGCTTACTATGCAAGTATCCAGACCGGTATCCAGCGGAAACCTTGGTTCTCCAAGCACAAGAAACTCCCCAAACACACTGTTTCGTCTTTGTGCAGACTCAGACTCGGCCACTGTACTAGCCCGGTATTCCTCGCCAAGATACGCGTACGTGACAGCTCGCTGTGCGAATGCGGTCTTGATGAGGGTACCCTAGACCATATATTTTTTTCATGCCCTCTTAATTCCCAGTCCTTTGACCTATATGGAAACCTTCCCAAAATCCAAATCCCACTCCCAATCAACTTCCACTCCCTTCTAACTAATTTTTCCCACAAATTAATTAAGTGTCTGTCCAAATTTATGAATGAAAATAATATTAAAATGTAGCGGTGTGTAATAATGTAAATATTGTGTGTGTTATAATTATTATGTATATATATATCTAATTATCTATTAAACGTAAGGTAAGTATAGTAACTGTAGGTTTATAGATGATATATGTTTACTAACCCAAATGTTTTGTCCTTTCCAGCTACTAACAAGTAAATACTACCACAAAGTTAAAAGTCGACGGTACACTACTCTGCCGTCACCACTCGACACCGGCAGTATAGTCGACAACATTATATTGGAGACTCAGTTGCCAAAACCAACAAAAAAAAAAAAAAAAAAAAAGAAAGTAATCTCGTATCCAGGCAATAAACTCAAAAAAAAAAAAAAAAAAGAAAGTAATCTGTGGTTTCAGTACAGTTTTGAAATTACTCATAAACTCCAAAAAAAAAAAAAAAAAAATTTGAAATTACTGATAAGAATTTGTTGAGGTTATAACCAATTAAGAGGTTAAAAGTTTCACATATTTCAATGCATTTACGAACATAAATAATATACCTATTTTATAGATTAAAGCGATTGATGAAAGGTAGTATATTCAATATACTACCTTCAGATTATACAATCAGGATATATTCTTTGAAATATAAGTATAAAAAATCTGGTTGTTTACACATTTAATACGATAAAGATTGACCTAGTTCAATTTGATATATGTAGTATGCTCTATCGACTTGTCAAAGCTATTAACAGACTATACTCGACAGTAACACTATCAAAAATCATGAATAACAACAAATGCTACTTTAGACAACAAGAAGATAAAGTTGAGATAACATTCATGCTAGAAGTAAAGGGCTCTGCAAGGCAGTTTAATTTTAGCCGGAATTCAACGGAAAGCTTACAAGTTTTACTCAATCGAATGAAAACTAACATCCAAAAAGCTATGGACAAGGGAAATAAGAAGAAAAACAAAAGTGAAAGTAGTCCGGACATAAAATTAGAATTTTATGATTCAAACAATGTTGTTATCAGCGAAAGTAGTACCTGCACTGACTTGCTTTCGATGAATGGCCCTATAAAATTAAAAATGTCAGATAATTTCTATGAAGTAATTTTTAATTCTCCATGGGTACTTAGTTTAAACTTGCCACAAAGCATTTTAGCTGGCTTTCCAGTATATCCCATCAATTTTGAGACCCAATATGCTAAGAAAGAAAAATGTATTTTTAATTGGTATAAAGGATTACCTAGAAATGAGAAAGGAAACACAGTGAGTGATCAACACATTCAGTGGGAACTAACCAGCAACAACTTTATTTACACACCAAGTACCCATGAAGTTGGCATGAAATTAAAATTTGAATGCATACCAGGTTAGTCATTAACTGTGTTCTGGCGTTAATGTGTTTTTATAGTGTTATCATTTAAATTTTTGTACTACATAACAACAGCATATTTTATTCCAAAAGAAACTTACTTATAACAATTTGTTAAAATACTTTCAGGTAATGATAATCTGGTGGGTCCTGCAGTTGAGTCTATATCTAAAAACCTTGTTGAAGCTGGGCCGGGCAGATGTCCATTTGAAACCAGACATTTATTTACAAAGCAAAAATTAAAGCATAAAAGGTACCTATGTTTACTAACTTAGATTTAGGTGTAAAAGAAATTAATAACAACTATTTACATTCCTTTGCAGCTTTAGATGTGTATCATATAACATTTTAGCAGATCTGTACTGTGACTCAGATTATACTAGAACCGTTTTACATCCATACTGTCCTGCTTATGCCTTACATATAGACTATAGAAAACAACTCATTTTGAAAGAATTATTTGGTAAGTTCTTTAATTACACCTTTAAGAAATATTCCAATCACCAACAACATCTTTAATTAGTTTTCAATTAATTTTACTCTATTTTTTCAGGTTACAATGGTGATTTAATATGTTTACAAGAGGTTGATTCCAAAATATTTCAAAGCACCCTTCAACCTCTTATGGATTCTGAAGGTTTTAATGGTTTATTTTATAAAAAGGCGAAACAAGTTGCTGAAGGATTAGCTTGTTTTTATAATAGAGACAGATTTGAGTGAGTATACAGGCATGCAATTTTTTTTAATTGATACCTACCTGCTTTTGTAATACATCAGACACATAAATCATTTGAATTTGTTGGTGCAATGGCTTGGGGGCTGATTACTGTGCAACATGTTGTGGGTTTCATTTATACACAATTTTTTTTATATAAAATGTTGCCACCCTTTTGGTTTTTTCCTATGTCGTGGGTGCTTTTACAAACATGCAATTTCATATATACACCACCCCCAGACTCTGATCAAAAATTTGTGGATTACACAGAGTTATTCTGTGCGGGAATCAAACCCGGGACAAATTGTGCGGCAGCCAGTTGCCAAGCCACCACGCCACCTATGCACTAACAATTTTTTTTGTACAATCCACAGTTATACATTTTCTGGGTTTGGTGTGTATATTTGTAGGTTTGTAAACATACCCACGACACAGAAGAAAGTCCTATTTATACAAAACATGCATATTTATGTGTTAATTTTACAAATTGTTTTGGAGGAAAAAAATTTAATAATTTGAAACATGTTAATTAGATTTTGTGCAGTACATGACTACTAATTTACTTTTCAGTTTTTTAGGGGACGAAAGCATAGTTTTATCTGATGCTTTAAAAAGTAAAGGATGCCTACAATCAATTTGGGAAAAGATAAAAGACAACAAACCACTTACGGATAGATTATTAGATAGGTCAACAGTGGCTAGTGCAACATTCCTACAGTCCATAGACAATCCAAATGAGATTTTAATTGTTGGTAATACACATTTGTATTTCCATCCTGATGCTGACCACATAAGACTATTACAAGGAGGTGCTGTAATCTATTGGTTAATGGAAATTCTTAATAACATGAGGTCTAAGGTAAGGAGTAATGATTATCAAAATATATATATATATATTTCACAAACAGGTTTAATGTCGCCCTGGATTATGGACTCAATAATTAATTTAAAATTTTGGTACCATATTAACTGTATTTATTTTCATTTCAGTATCCAGACAAGAGGATAAGTGTCATAGTTTGTGGTGATTTCAATAGTGTTCCCTCATGCGGAATTTATCAGTTGTACACTACAGGTGCCTCCCCAAGTAGTTTGCCAGACTGGAAATCTAGTGAGTGTATAGTTAATATTTTAAACATTTATTTAATTTGAAATGTTTAATTCATGAATTTATTTTCTAATTTACAATTTATATTTCTTTTATTTCATATTTATATTGCATACTTAGTTTTATTGCAATATTTTTTGTTTAAAAACAAAACAACTAGGTACTTACTCACCATTAAACACTCTAGGTACTGTTTTCAAGTCACGAGACTCTTATTCATACGTAGTGTGCACATCACAGGATTTTGCACATTCAACTGGCTTTATAGTCCAAGAGCCCAGAGCTATCAGACATTACTTATGTAACCAAATGTATCATACCAGTAGTGTAAGGGTATAAAGTCTCTGAAGGTTATAATATATCTGCTAGCTTAGGTCGGCAGTCAATTTACAGGTATATCAGGTGCTAAAGATACATAAAAATATTACTCACATTTCTTAAGGTAAGAGTGCTGATTTTTTGTGTATTTTACTAAACTTATTAAGAAATCTAAAGTTCATATTGCCTGACAGTTTTTGCTCACGGTAATTTCCAACAGACGCAAGTTTTATTTCTATGCAACTAGACAAATTCTAATTTCCCACAGACATATTTAAAATCTCGCCTTGAGTATGAACACGCAAATACTTACCCTCTTATAACAAAACAAGATATATCTTTAGTTTAGTTTAGTAAGTCTAGGTTTAAACCATTGAGTCAGGTTTTGAATTTTGAATGTCATTCTCACCTGCCTTCAATTCAATATACGAAAACTGGCTCAATGCAATGGTTTAGACTTAGACTAAAGAAAAGATACTGTACTGTGTTAATGTTTTCAAGGTTTTATATCACAGACACATCATATTTATGTTTTTACTAGCTTTTGCCCGCAATTCCGTTCGCGTGGAATAGTGACTTCCTACACAGTTTTGGTACTTATAATAAATAATTTTTAACAAAAATAACCAGACTTCAAAAAGTAAACTAAAAAGCAAAAAATATTTTTTTTTCTTTGTAGAAATTAATACATGTTTTCATTTACTTAAATAGAAAATGATATTAATAACCCTTTTATAATCTTGAATTCGGTGCCTTTCACAGAAATCGGTTCAGTAGTTTAGGCGTGAAGAAAAGGCAGACAGACAGATACTTTCGCATTTTATAATATTAGTTTAGATTTAGATTTGATTCTTGCAATTTTTTTGTACTTACTACTAATTTTGTGCATACTATTATTCAAATTATAAATTACAGTATGATGTATAATAGAATTTTTTAACCTATGAGTTCAAATTACTAAAGGTAAAAAAAATATTTTTCACTATAAGTAGCATTTAACCCTATACAAATATTTATTTGTAAAAAACAAAATATAAAGAAATACTTCCTTAGACTGAGAAAAATATTAAGTATAGTATTTTTTTTATTTAAGATCCATTACTTTTTATAAATAATTTTATTATATTTTAGTTTTTAATTTCCGTTATTATCATTGGTAATTGAGAACTCGTCATCCAACCATCTTCGTATTGAGCAGACGGATTATCTGATGGTAAGCAATTGGCGCCGCCCACGGACACCCGCAATACCATAGGAGTAACAAGTGGGTCTCCGGTAACCTAACTCACACGGCGAAACATAACGCTGTGGTTATTTCACGCCAGTATTCTGTGAGGCCGTGGTATTACTCTGGTCGAGCCGACCCATTTCATTCCGAAGCTTAGCTCTCCCACACTTAAAACACTATTAAGAATAAAATCAACAATTAAAACACATGTATAAAATTAGGAAAAATAGGTACTTAAGTTTTTAATAAGCGATTCTTCGAGCTGGCGAAAGGTGGTGATGGTATCAATCCGAATCCGAATCCGAGTTAAAAGAATACGAATCAATTGAATTGATACAGATTCTTTTAACTTCCATTCATTATTCTCTGATCTGAAAATACCAAATATTCAAGTACAAAGTCATTTAAGCATTATTTCAGAAACAAATGATGCCATTTGTTCTCCAGAACTGCTATGGAAGTTCAGTCTTACACGGTACCACTCTCCATTGTGTAAGACTGATCTTAGTTGCTCGCTTAAGTAAAGTCTGATGGCCTTGTGCTCTTACTGTATTCGTTTGCCCTTAACATTTAGTGTATCATAAAATTTTTTCTCTTCAAAAATGTATATGTTATATTTTTATATGTATGCATTAGATGCGTATCACACAAAAAATACATGATAATGTTCATACGACAAAAGACAATTATTTTTCAGCTAACCTAAGTTTCATCAATTTTCAGACATTAATGAAGCTGTGTATGATTTAAATCTACAACAAAATATTCCTCTTGGAAGTGCATGTGGCACACCACAATATACAAATTATACTGCAGAATTCGCAGACTGTCTGGATTACATATTTTATGACAAATCTAACTTAGAAGTTGAACAGGTGGGTAACAATCTGCCTACTTTCGTTAGAAGAATACAAAAATTGATAAGAATGATTAAATGGTCCTAATTATAGTATATTTTTTGTAACTAAGTATAATGTTTTATTACAGGTTGTACCTCTTCCATCTGTCGACGAATTGAAATTACACACAGCCTTGCCAAGTGTAGTTTTTCCTTCTGATCACATAGCTTTGGTTTCGGATTTACATTTTAAGTAGAATAATAATATGTGCGGTGAGGTAGGGTAAGACTTACAAACTTTTCTACCAGACAGTACGGAAAGATCGATTTTCATGGCTAAGTTATTTTGGTTACTTCTGAGATGCCGTAAAATACGCTAACATTACCCACATTGAATGAATAAAACCAATGACGTATTATATATAGACACGTCATGAACCAACATCGCGGCGCTTAAAAACGGCGAAAATACAAGATAACTACTTCTACGACTAAAGAAAGGGAAAGCAAATATGACATCGTATAGTGGAATGCCTTTGCTAGAGGGAGATAAATATACATCTTCAGTTATGCCGACGGCACGTGACTATACCTTCATGCGCCGGCCGCCATAAGATGGCGGGCGCCGGCGTCGAAAAAAATAAAATAAAAATAGGTTGTTTGGTGAACTTACGCATGAAATGACACATTTTTGTATTTAACTTTTAGAGTATAATTTGTACATCCTCTGAACACACACGACGGCATGCTTTCTTTAGTTTCGCACAGGTTTACACACACGATATAAATTATAACAAACGTAGCGTCGCGCGGGAGGTTGGTGCGTGACTAAGCGCGATGTTGTCAAATTGCCTTCATTTCATGTTGCCATTTTAGAGCGCGGACAACGTATCTATAGATTTATACATCATTGAATAAAACAATATATTTTGTATATAGTAAATTATCTGGACTTTTAGTCAACATAAACCACTATGATTTTAGTTGAGTTATAAACCAGTTAAAGCATCCTGGCAATGAAATCAGAAAATGAAATGTTTAATTGTGATAGATAATTATGAGAAACAGTAACTACTACTGTTTCTCATAATTATTATTATGTACCTCCTACACAGTGATCATATTTAAGAGTGTTCTATAACGTGTTTGTTAATTTTTTTTGTTATTTTATTAAAAAGTGAATGAACAACTTGTTTAAGTATCCTTTGACTGCGAGAAACAATAATTAAAATTTTACGATGTATAGATATGGAAAATATTGAATACCATTGTCCAATTAAAAATATTCGAAATTACCCCCAAAAAAACTGAATTGGACTCTTCATTTGCTCATCTAATAAAATAATGTTATACTAAACTGTTAGTGTTTTAGTGAATGATAGATAACTACCTAAATAAAAAATTTTTTTCCTTAATTCTAACTAATTATATATTATATATATTATATTTGTGTGCAAATCATTATATTTTTGCTGAGTTTCAAAACGCGTATACATATGTGTTGGCGATTCAGCTAGATTTTTACTGTAAATAAGATAATAAAAGCTTTCAGGTTTTCATCAATTTTAACTCAGAATACAGAACAAACCAGAAGGCATCATCGCGCTTCAAACTGAAGCAACTAAAACCACTCTTAACTAGACTAGTATGAAATTTCTACGATCAGTCAATTTTGGCACTTGGCACGTCGTGACGTATTTACGAGTATCAATATTAGTTTCATTATGGTATTGTGCTATTCCTACGAGTGAAAATGCGGCTGGAATTACGAAAAAAGTGGATAAGATTACATTTCATCTGCAAGCATCGACCGACTGCAATAGTATATTTAATTAATTATTGAATTTTTTATCGATTTATTTTTCTATGAAAAATGATGCGGCCATTTTGTGAGTGTTGTCATTTTTGGTAAAAATTTTACCCACTTATTTATTTGTTGTGGGTTATTTTTTTGTCCATTATGGAGCCTATGTCATATTAGTTTTCCTGCCGACTAAAAAATAAAAATCATACAAAGGGCACGGTTAGATTAATTTTGGAAACCACCTAGCCAGAGCATAGTTTGCTCAATTCACTTTGAAGAGATATATTTATGACAAAGGTGGTTTGAAAACAGCATTTCCTACTAAGATTTTATATCTATACTAATTATAATGCTGAAGAGTTTGTTTGTTTGTTTGTTTGCTTGAATGCGCTAATCTCAGGAACTAAGTAAAGTAATTAGACTTCTAATCTTTAGTTCCGAGTCTAAAGACAATTCATATTGTAAAAACTAAACCAGGAAAATGAAACGCAATAAAACTCTTGTACTTATTGAAGCTTTGTTTTATTTGTTGTGTATAGTAGGTGTAACTAAAATTAACACAGTCAGGAATCGTGAAATGTGTTAACAACTAGTCTGTTGCATTTATCGTAAGTTTACCTATTTTGTTGGGTTTACCCATATCTTACCCTCCCGTTGTAAAATTACCCCAAACCCAGGGAATTGTTCCACTGTCGGCAACACTACGCGGGTGGGAAGTGCGGCTGGCGGGGGGATTGACGTATTGTTTTTGGACACATTTGACGACATGTAATTATGAGTGAACGCGGATTCTAGTTTGTTCTGTATTCTGAGAATTTTAAACATTTTTTATACAATGTTCAGGTAATCAAGTATTTTTTTTGTAATAAGTAGTAATTTATTTGACCCGATAAACTTCGTACTGTCTAAGTCAATGAATAGGTACTTCTTTCTCACATTTTAAACCTTCCCTGGAATTCTACGAATATTTCAAGACCAATCTTAAGCAAATCGATTCAGCTGTTCGCGAGTTTTAGCGGAACGATTCATTTTTATATAGGTATAGGTAAGAAGAAGATGAAGAAGATTGTTAGTGAAGAAATTTTGTTTGCTTAATTCTAAATGGGGGTGCAGTTAAAAATTCTCCTATTTTTATTGTCATTTTACCTACTAGTCAGTCATTAAAATGTTTGTATTAGGTATTATAACCGACTTCAAAAAAGGAGGAGGTTCTCAATTCGACGCGTATTTTTTTTTATGTATGTACTCCGGTTACTCGAAGACGCCTGGACCGATTTGCAAAATTCTGTTTTTATTTGTGTATTATATTCATTAACATTTCCCGCGCGCTAAAATTGCTACTGCTTATGGCGGGAAACTCATAAACTGATGAACAATCTATCACCATCGTAGGAACAGATTCGGCACTAGGTACGTGTTTTGGGTGACTCAAAAACAATTGAAGTTTTCGGGATTAGGAACAATATTGACTTTTTTACCACCTAATGAATTGTTTTTACCGACTTCAAAAAAGGAGGAGTTACTATGTTCGGCTGATTGTTGTTTTATTTTGTATGTTCACCGATTACCTACTCCGTCATTTATGAACGGCGATTTCCAAAATTCTTGTTTTGTTTGAAAGGTTATTCTCCTGAGAGGGTTCCATTTTCATGAGGTAGGGATCTGATGATGGAACCTAGGGAAACCGAGGCGAACTTTCGAAAATTGCAGGGGCAAGTAGTGCTTTTGCATGCTGTTTTAGTAGGCTTTTTACAACGCTACAACTTGCCGAAAGTCGAACTTGACCTGATGTTGGAGCCGGAAGACACTTGAAGTCCTTGATTATTTGAAGTAGTTACCTTGCGTTAAGGCTTGATTGATTCGTACGTACCAAGAGCACTTTTCACCAAGATTGATCGTGACTGTCTTTAGGGGTCTGATGATGAGAACGAAGGACAGCTCAGTTAACTCCTGAACGGTTTACAGTAACTACCTTGTGTTGGACTTAATTCATTTATATCAATGAAAACTTCACACCTATATGGGTAACAATAAAGTCATGCAGTAAATCTGATGATGGATCCGGATAACCGTCGAGGGATCTCCTGCACTATTTGAAGTAATTATGTTGTGGTTGGATTTAATTCATTTTGATGAGAACTTTACACCTATACTGATTATATGAGTATATTGAAGGTCTGCAGTATAAATGATGATGGAGACCATTGACAGTCCAGGGAATTCCTCAACGATTTACAGGACTGAACACTGACTAACTCAGGACTACTAGTGTTACCGTGATTTTCGGTCTCAAGTAGTCGTCGCCTTCTCATTCGAAAACCGTTATCCTTGCTTGCTCTGCCTATCACTTAAAATGGTGAAATAAATATTTTTTAACAAAAATAGTCCGACCTCAAAAAGTAAACCAAAAAGCAAAAATAAATTTTTTTTTTGGAATTAAGGTAAGGTGGGGTAACACTAACAGCGGGGCATGACTATCACTATCAAATATCTCGAAAACCACCGCCTTTTTTTTAAATTTGCCATGTCGATAAAACAGTTCATTTGACAAAGTTCTCGATTTAAAACATAGATGGCACTTCTGATCGTCAATGTCGCCAACATAACAAAACGAAAATGTCAGTTGTGAAATAAATTTGTTGCACTTGGCAGAGCTTCCGGAATTCTTCAAAATTTTGGTAAAAAAAAACGTTAAATGGAAGAGTATTGAACGTAAGTAGCATCATATTAATATTGTCTTTTAAGTTATTGTATTATTTTAATATTAAACATACGACTTTTTCTAATATTTTACCAAACCAAAACATAACCTACAACTATCAAAGTGGGGGAAGACTACCAGTTCGCCCGGGGTAAGACAAACATTATGTTAGTCTTTCCCCAAGTCAGTTGTAAGCAACATTTTCATTAAGGATATTTTTCATTGGGTTGGGTTTCATTGGGTACTCTTGGATGGTAAATAGGTACTAATGATGTTCTCCACGGAGTAAGAACAAAGAGGAGACGGCCTAAACAACTCGGCCCTGTGACACAAGTCGGCCCTCACGTCATCAATGTGGGCGTGGCTTACGTCATTGTAATATGGTCGTTCGTCCTGTGCACAACTCCTATAAAATATTCGTTTTACTCGTGACAGACGAAAACAAAATGAAGTCTTGTGTTTTATCTTGTAAAAAATACTATGATAAATGTTACGGTGCTATGGATGGCATCACTTTTCATGTATAAGTTATTTTATTCGTCATTTATTAAAATAGTTCTAGCAAAGTCTCTTATTTTCAGCGTTTCCAATTATCAATCTACGCGACACTAGATGTCGACACTTTGTATCATAGAAACAAATTTTTCATAGGTACGCATAGTTCAGTATCAGTATATTTTAATGATCGTTTGTATAGTAATTTGATCGATATGCATTCCTAAAGATCCTTTAATCGCCAAAATATTATTTATGTAACTTTTATATTATTTTATAAACAGACTGCCATCTATTGTCAAGTAGTAAAACATAAATAAAGACAGGGCAGTAATTAGGAGTCAATTACTTTTTAAGGTTTATA